GGAGCCAGATATACACCAACATATGAGTGGACTTCCACTTATCTCTTCCTTCCGAGTCCTCATCCGGCTTTATCGCCTCTCCTGTCAGATAACCCTCCAGGTTCCTCCCTGCAAGGGTGTATCTCACCCGCCGTGACCAGCTCAGGTAAGTACCCGGTCCATCAAGCTTCAGATCTATGGTAGGAAGCTCCAACTTCTTGGATGGTTTTGTCGCGCTCTCACCAGCCGACAACTTCATCAGCTTCATCAAAGTTGACACCTCCGCGGGGTTCAACTTCTTGACAATTTCCTCCATTGATCAAGCTTCAGACCCAACACCTGTTCACCTTCTCTTCCGACCCTTGTTGTGTGCAGTGAAAATTTCGGCAGCACCTCTGCTGCACAACAAGAGTAAGATCTCAAACAAATTCTCGTTTCTCAGAGGAAACAAGAATAAAAAACAGTGATATATCTCATCGCCGTGAGATATATACTCTTCCTGTCATCAGTTCGAGGACTGAGTCGAGGGAATCCATGCCAAACCTAGTTCACATGGTGGCAGCAAGGGGATGCGGGGTCGACAAGAGTTTTGGCTGGGTGTGGGGTTCGTTATAGCGAAGGAAGGGGGGGGTTCGGGCTTGGCGGAGGGGGGTGGGGTCTGAGGGTTTTCGCCGGTCTGAGGGGGGGAGTTCGGACCTCGCTCATCAGATTAGTCGGGGGGGGTTCGTCGGGTGTGAGTAGTCGGAGGGCTGCTGAAGGGGGGTTCAGGTCGGGGGGGTTCGCCGTCGAGGGTAAGGGGTCAGGCCGCAGGGAGCAAGAGAGGGGGTCGGGGCTGGGGGTTCGCCCCGAAAACAGAGAGAGGGGGTTCGTCGGGTTTCCTGCAACAAGAGGGCGGGCGCATTAGGGGGTGGAGTTTGACGGCGCTGCGGGAGGGGCGGAGGTACGGCTAGGGTTTGCTCTGATATCAAATTGAATGAAAACCCTAATTCCATAGATGAGATAGCATGGGCTTATATAGGCCCTACAAACACTTTTACAAATAAGACCCTTAACTTATACTAATATGTCAACATTATTCGTATCAAATATCTAGTGTAGTTTCTACTATCTCATTAATTTTATCATATACTAGTCATCGTATTTGTTACTCGTAGACTCGTAGTATTAAAAGAGGATTATAAATTTGAGAAACTGCATAGACTAGGTAAATTGACTCAAAAGAGAATGACAAGGCATTTCATGTGTCGTATTTGTTAGTTGTCATATTTAATAATATACTAGTTATCGAATCTCTAGAGTAGTTGTCAACAATCTCATTAATTTTATAATATGGAAGTCGTATTTGTTACTCCTATAAACAGAGGATTACCAATGTGAGAAACTATAGTTGTATCAAGTATCTAGAGAAGTTTTATATAATCTCATTAACTTGAGCTGCGTTATGTCTTAGTTGACGTATTTGAAAATATATAAGTCATCATATTTGATAATATGTGAGTCGTCGTATTTGTTACTCGTAGTATTAAAAGATGATTACAAATGTGACAAACTATATAGATCAGGTAAATTAAAAGATGATTACAAATGTGAGAAACTATATAGATTGACTCAAAGGAGAAAGACGACACATTTCATATGTCGTATTTATTAGTTGTCGTATTTAATAATAAGTATCAAGTATCGAGAGCACTTGTTTACAATCTCATGAATTTTATAACATGCGAGTCGTCGTATTTGTTACTCGTTATATTAAAAGATGATTACAAATGAGAGAAACTACACAAACTAGTTAAACTGACTCTAAGGAGAATGACAAGTTATTTCATATGTGGCATTTGTTAGTGGTCATATTTTTCTTATCAAGTATCTAGAATAGTTGTCTACAATCTTATTAAGTGTATAATATGAATCATCGTGTTTGTTACTCGTCATATTAAAAGAGGATTACAAATGTGAGAAACTCCATTTTGGCCACTGCGAAATTATTTAACGATGGGTCGAAACGATTGAAAATGACAAAAAATCGTGGGGTTACAACTCATGAAATCATGAGTTTTGGTCTCCGCGAAATTATTTGATAACGGATCAAAGCAGCTAAAATAGTCAAAAATCATGGGTTATAGCTCATGAAATCATGAATTTTCGCCTCCACAGAATTATTTGCCAGCGGATCGATACAAATAAAAATGATAAAAAATTATAGGTTATAACTTATGAAATTATGAAATTTGGCTACCGCTTGGCAACAGGTCGAAATATCTAAAAATGGCCAAAGATTATCAATTATAGTTTACAAAATCATAAATTTTGGTGGGCACGAAATAATTTGCCAGTGGGTTGAAATGATTAATGACAAGAGATTATGGGTTATAGCTCATGACGTCATGAATTTTAAACTTCATGTATATATTTGCCAATAAGTCAAAACGACTAAAAATGGCAAGAAATCATGGATTATAGCTCATGAAATTATGTATTTTGGTTGCCGTGAAATTATTTGTCAACGGATCGAAACGATTAAAAATAGCAAAAAAATTGTGGGTACAGTTCATGAAATCGTGAATTTTGGTGGGTGATAAATAATTTTTCAATGGGTCGAAATGACTAAAATTAATGGCAAGAGACTATGGTTTATAATTCATGACATCATGAATTTTAGACTTCATGAATTTATTTTTCAACGAGTCAAAGCGATTAAATATGGCTAAAAATCATGGGTTTGGACTATAAAATTATTTGTCAATGGGTCGAAACGATTAAAAATGGCTAAAAATCGTGGCATTGACTAGTAGGCCTAGTTCATTTTGCCAATTAACTGGATACTTTCACTAGAGCATGCTGCTAATTAGCAGGATTTATTTTGTTTCCCAACTTGGAGCAGGGTTTCTATAAGAACTTACGAGTTATTAACATATACGCACCAGAGCAACTTCTAAGTGTGATCTGATCTGCATATGAGTTTATTGCGTGTGTATAAATCATGGATACGAAAAGCATTAACCTAACCTTCCTATAGCTTGAGATGTGATCGATTTCGTGCATATTTGCTGCAAAACTGATCAGTGCCGGTTGAAAATTGAGTTGGAAATGGATAATATTAGCTCGATCGATATGTGCATATATAGTTAATACAAATTAGATCAGTAGGTTTTTGTTAGATGATGCTTGTGGGCTGACGAATCTTTTTAAGAGTCCACAGAATAATTAAGTGAGGAATCTGAGTTTGGCACAAAGCACCATTAATATGAGGTCAGAGCATGATGCCGAGATCATGATATCGAAGAAGAGCGAACACTTTGAAAGCAGTAAGTTCAAATTCGTGATACGATATGGGGTCAATGTGCAGTTTATCCTATCTTTTATACTCTAATGATTCCTAATTAACATGCCATCTATTAACCCCCCCTTGTCCCATACCTCTCTCTAGCTCTCAAATTTGGGTTTATTTTGGAGGAAAGGGAAAGAGGAATAATGATTTAAACAAGAATGATTTGAAGGATTTAGTACGAGCCACCCCTAATGAGCCCGAAAAATCCAGCCCCTTAGCTTAATTAAGAGACATGGGAAGCCGCTCCAACCAGCCGGAAAAAATGCCCCTTCACCCCAAACCCCACAACTCTCTCCCCAAATTAAGGGGAAGGTTAAAGTCCCTTAATCTTCCCCTTATAGTTTTATATTAATGTTTTTAATAGAGTTAATGTATAGTTAATCAAATTTAGTTTATGTATAGTTAATTCAAAATAAAATAATTGAGTTAATGTATAGTTAATTCAAATATGACCATTCATATATGATCGAAGAAATATAAACATTATAATACGACCGTTGAGATGTGATCGTTGAGATATTATTGTTAAATGAAACTAATATTAAAATAATATGAATTTAAATTTAAAATAATATTTAACTTTTAACATGATTTATATAAATTAATTATTTGTTAAATTTTAATATGATTAATTAATTTAATGATTATATAAGGTAATTTCTTAATTTAAATTAATTAATTAATTATTTTTAGTTATTAATGTTTAATTATTCATTCATTTATAAATAAACCATATATTTAATTAAATACTAATCTGTAAAATTAAAATACTAAATATGAATAATTAAGGGATAGAGGGATTTTTAAGAGAGAATCATTAGAAGAGAATATTCTCCTCCTTTAAAAGTACGGACAAATTTTCAAAACCGACCCTTTTGGGTTTTTAATTACAAAAAACGACCGGTTTTGAAAATATTTACAAAAATCGACCTATTTAGCTGAAAACAGGTCGGTTTTTTTAAATTTTTTTGGAAAACTTCACGGGAGTTGAACTCCCGTGAAGTTTTTCTCATAACAAAACTTCACGGGAGTTGAACTCCCGTGAAGTTTGGAAGAAAAAATTTCAAAAACCGACCCAGTTTCAACCAACTGGGTCGGTTTTTATAAATAAAACTGAAATAGGTTGTTTTTTGCAATTAAAAATCCAAAGGGGTCGATTTTGAAAATTTGTTCTTAAAAGTACCCTAGATTGAGGGAGAAGTGTAAGAAACAAATCTATTTTGATGGAGAGTAGTTATACCTACACCTCTAGTAGCAGGTAACTCCCTTCAACTCATTTATTACCACTTGTACGGATGAGGGGAGTTATCTGCAATATATAGCCTTTTAAAAATCTTATGGTTTGAAGCGTATTTATTGATGATTAAAAAAAAAATACTATTATTATTTTACGAAGCCTAGCTGTAAATAATAATAAAAAAACCCACCTTGCTATTGCAGCAATTTACTGCAAAGCCAAAGCCAAAAACGGAGCTAAAATCAAAGCCTTCCCATTTTTTTCTCCTCTCCCATTTATTAACCAAAGCCTTCTAATTGTTTTTTTGCCCCCCTCTTATTAAAGAACTAAATCCTCCTCTAATTAGGACACGAGCAAAAACAACCAGACAGAACTAGAGCACGTGCCCCGCAGATATACCCACCAATGGCCTTCCTCCACGTGTGCATTTGCTATAAAATTGCATAAAATCAAAGGTCAATTCTTCTCCTCAGCTGGTCCTCTCAAATCTACTACGATCTAGGATTCCCCTTTTCTTCTCCTTCAAATCTTCCCTTTTGCTTGTGTTTTATTTTCCTCTGAATCAGTGTTTATCGGTTGAAATAGAGACTCGCAAAATCTAAAGATCCTTTTTTTTTTGCTCCCCCATTAAGATTTTTTGATGTTTATTTGGGAGACCCATATCATAAATTTCTCCGTCCGAAGATCCACCGTCTTGGCAAGTTCTCGTCTTTTCTGAATCCCTGTTTAAATTGGAGCTTATTAGGGAGACCCATTTGAAAAAGGAAGCAGCTTGGCATCATTCTAGCAGATGGGTACCGGCTCATTCCGTCTAAAACCTATGAAAAACCTCTCCTTCCTGCAAAAGTTTCGATCCCTCTGAGGATTTCTGAGCTGACCAGAGAAACCCGTACTGCGAGTTTTGTAAATGGGGCCCCACGACGGCGAAGAAAATGAGGCCACGGAGCTTACAGGAGGTGAGGATTCAGCGGAGAAAGAAACCTCGGAGGAAGAGAGAAGCTTTAAATCTTTCCTCTCGTCGCCCCTTGTTTGGTTCACGATGCTAGTGAAGGAGCTGCATTGGAGCTTTGTTTTCGGGGTTTTCATTATCTACGGAGTCAGCCAGGGCGTGGGTTGGTCGGTGTGGAGGGTTGCAGCAGATTACTATTGGAAAGATGTTCAATTGAAGCAGCCATCACAGGCCCAGGTCTACCAGGGGATTACTAACATTCCTTGGATCGTGAAGCCGATTTGGGGGCTTCTCACTGACGTTCTTCCCATGGCCGGATATCGAAGGCGCCCGTATTTTCTTTTTTCAGGCAAGTTTTGAGTTTGTTTCCTTTTTCAGAGTAGAGAGCAGGGCTTTGGAGAGGAATTTGGATCCTCTCCGCTACAAAAAAGAGTAGTGGAGAGACTACTATTTTTAATCTCAACCGTTACTATTATTTAGTAGGCGATTATGCTACAATCTAAATTTAACGCTCACCATCCCGTGGTTTGCTAACCTCTAGCGCATTTTTTGTTGTGGTTCTTGTTCTACTTATTTGTTTATTAGAATTGTTTATTTGTCTAGTTTGAACTACTAGCGCATTTTGTATGAAGAACTTTACATTTTGTGGTTTGCTAACCTCTAGCTTTACATAAATTTTGAACTTAAAACAATGGAAGTTATTGGTTATGTAGTGGGGGTTATGGGGGTCCAGTGCTATTGCCAGTTACTGTTGGGCAAAAACAACCCCGTGTCGTGGAACCAAACCAAACGCCAATCAAAAAGGGTCAAAACCAACCAATGTCAATGCACAAACAAAACATCAATTTTTAACGTGGTTCGGTAATTGCCTACGTCCACGAGGCAAGAAGGGGATGAGTTTTCACTAATAGAGAAGAAGAGTACAACTTGAGATTACAAATCACTCGAAGGAACAAACTAATCTCACTAACAAAGCTCTTAATCTCTTTAAATAAACCCTAATCAAATAGCTCAGAAAATACCTCTTTTCTGTGCTCCAAATATCCCAAACTCTTGCCTTAGAAACCCTAGAAACGTATATTGGTATTTATACAAACACCAAAACCCAATAAGAATAGGAAACCAAACATGGGACTGACCCGCTACGCGGTCGACCGCCACGATCAATCGCGACCAACGACAGAACCTGGAAACACTCCTATAGGGTCTGGCGATCAACCGCGACAAACGACAGAGCCCAAAAATACATTACAGGGTCTAGCGATCGACCGCGACGGTCGATCGCGCCAAATCCAGACTCATACTTGAGCCTGTGCACGTTCGCAGTCGACTGGCCTTGCGCCGCGGTCGACCGCGCAGCTCCAAAACAGATCCTTGTGTCCCAAAAAACCTGTTCTTCGAAATTCTTTATGGTTTCTTCAATTCTCCACCTCGGTGAAGTTTCTACCAAAACTGAGCCGACACCAACCAAGCCAAATGCCTCACTTGTTGCATCCAGTACGCCATGGCAACGGACTCATGATAACGGATTCCATCCACACAAGTCGAGACCCAAACGGGAGTGCGAACACTCACCCAAACGTCGATGTCTACTCACCAAATCGGTTGCATCATTAAAACTGCCTACGTATTCTCTTGTCCAATGAATCAAGCATTCACGTAGTTCACCCAACGGTCTCCAAAGACTCTCAAACAAATAGAAAAGTCTGCAACTCTTCCCCGATATCGTCAACGGATCTGCAACTGATAGCAGTCCCAAACTGATACAAATTAAACACCTTCATCTGAGGTGAACCAATGGCCGTATCCAAATCATGTCCATCAGCTGCAATCGAATCCAAAACCAATCCATCATCTGCATCCGAAATCAAATAATCCCCAACCTGTGCCACCTCAGCTGGAATCCTAAATGACGCAGTATGATCTGGAATATGTGGAATAAGTTTCACCCAACGTAAAGTAGCATCACCCTCCACCTACTGTGATATCCAAATGACCTGATCAACACTCTATCTGCTGAGAGTCAAAAGTGACATTCCTGCTCAGAACAAAATCAGAAGCTCTCAAACGATAATCAAATGAGCCTCTGAATCCCAAACGCACAATCAGATCAAATCTCACATCCTCGATGTGACCAAATGCTGGGTAACCAAATATCCGACGCCAATCAAAATCTGAAGCAGCTCCACCAGATCCAATAACTCCTAATGCAGCAGTCGGCGACCTATGACTAAGATGACCTAAATATGTCGAAACTCCAGAACCAGAACCAATGCTCGACAACCGACGCCGATCCTCCTCCAGAAAGGAACGACCCATCGAAACTGTCATCTCATCTCGTCGCCCCAAAGTCTCGACATCAATAAAATGTTTCAAGTTGCCATGAGCTCGGCACAAACGCAAGAAAGGACCCCTACCAAAGCTAAAACAATGAGTTACATTTCTGTCAATACACTTCTTCTAATTGTTGTTGACTTTTAGGACTTTACACCAACGGGAACTGGTCGCGACCCAATGATGCCTAGAACAATCACTAACTGTGAAAATTACAAAACGATTACCTTCCAATGATGCCTCCTTAGAAGGCTCTCAAATGCCTGACTGAACACCTCCTAAAAGACCCCTCGCTCGATGGATAGAAGTGTCAAACTCCACCACGATCTTGCTCATCCTAATGTGCTCAAAGGATTTCCATCTGCAGGTCAAAGCACTCCTCAACAACCTATGCACGGCATCACCAATCAAATACCCTAGCACCAAACTACGTCACAATCTAGCCAAATCCAATGAAGTCGTCAGAGCTCTATCAATCACCGTGCTCCTAAGTAAATAGTATAAGTTACTTCTTCTGACGCCCTTCATCACAATCATGGACCCAAATGTAACATTCAAACGTGCATCCGTCAAGGTCACCCTATAGTCTGTCTCCAAAGCTCCAAGTGAAATGATGTTCTTCTTCAACTGAGGAACGAACCTCACTCAAACAAACTCCCGAATCACTCCGTCATTCATCCTGATCCGAACAGTGTCAATACCACCAATAGGGCATTCATGATCATTACCCATGAGCACGAAATCCCCTCTTTCTAACTCCTGAAAGTTGGAGAACCAATCTCTCCTAGGACAAATGTGGTATGTAGCATCCGAGTCCAACATCCACTCTGTAGAGTAGGCAACACAAACTGACGACAGTGCAGATAATGAGTAGCCCGAAGAATCTGAATCTGAATCGTTACCACTAGCCTTGACAACATTCACCTCTGAAGCTTGAATAACTTTTCCCTTATTCTTCCCGGCTTGATCATTTAACTTTGGGCATTCAGCTTTCCAATGTCCATCTTCTTTACAAAAAGCATACTGATTCCTACAAATTCTAAGATGTGCCCCTCTAGACTGTGACCTTCTACGTCGGTTTGGACCCTTTGCTCTTGCAACCAATGCCCCCGCTACCGGCTCAATAGAAATCTCCTTGTCCTTCTTCCTGAGTTGGTAATTCACTAATGCAGCGGTGACCTCACTATATGAAAGAGATGTCTTCCCATTAATAAGAGTAAGGACAAACGTCTCATATTCCTCGTCGGGCAAGGAACTCAACAATAGCAATGTTTTGTCCTCATCTTCAATAATAACATCTATATTCGTCAAATCTATAAGAAGCTTCGTGTAGTGGTTCATGTGATTACTAATTGATGTCTCATTCTTCAATTGGAAGCGATAAAG